TGGATTTAATTATTAGATACAATTAAACCTCTTTTAAATTAAATCCATGAAAGGCTCATCTTCAATTCAGTGACTCTGATTTTGCAACAGAAATCATTAGAAGAAATTCCTTCAGCAGCAAGTAACTGGAAGTTATTTTCCTATTCAAGACAAGTAAGCATTATAGCCAGTTTAAGGGAGAAGACAGCTACAATTTATTTCAAATTACTTGATGCACACATTCTCCAATTTGCAGTTTCTTCTCTTTTCTACTCTTACAAAATAAAATTAAGCAAAAAAAAAAGACCATGCAATAAAAATGTAGCTCTGTAACTGCGTGTTCTGCTCAAATAAACCTTTAAATTCCTTTTTGTAGCAGAGAGTTCAAATGCAGCAAGCAAGAGAACTAGAGCGAAAATAAGAAAAATTTATTACTACAGCTCTATAAAAAAATTGAGAGAGTTTAGAGATCACCATACCAGTGAGCCCATTCCGTGTCTTCCTTATCAGTTCATATTGTATTTAGCAGCTCTAGGCAGTCCCACTTGCTCCAGTGGGATAACTCAGGTGAACACAGACAAGGTGTCTGAGAGAAAGTGGCAGGATCAGGCCCAAGACCACTCAATACACCCAATAAGTCACACAAGCAAAGCACATGCTTTTGCTTAAGGTCCCAACAGCATAAGCTGTTACTTTCACAAGGACTGTCCCGATAGTCAAGGAAATGGTCACAGGGGGTTTAAATGACAAGATTTAACCTTCCTTCTCAACAGCAGAAGGAAATGAATACATTTCAATACATTGGTCGTATGTTTGCTGAAAGCAGCTACAGTTAACAACAAACACAAAAAAAATCCAACCCATTTTCCCCTTGTCTGAACAAAAAATACTCTCAACAAGGAAATATCCAACTACTGCAACCCGAAGAGCTTATTGTTTTGCCCACTGTAAGTTAATATCTGAAGTGGTTACTGCAAAGGTCCAGGCCATTTGGATGGTTTCCCAGTGGCACAGCTAACAGGATAAATCTCGTCATTTCTACTGAGTCATGAATTAGGTACACTGAACAAAACTGAAAAAGAATGAAAAGGAGAAGTGTTTCCTGGTAACAACCATAATCAATGCCATTTAAAAACTGAGATATTTCACATCTTTATAGATTACTCTTTTGTCACTACTCAAGTAAGCTTCCTTTCCCAAAAGCTGCTTTCCTAGAGACAATAATTATTTTGCCCTGTGTTACTTTCAAAACGGTCATACTGTAGCATGAAATTCAGCAAAACAGAACCAAAACCACAGAATCTCAGGAAAACATTGTAAAATGGACTTCATACCTTATGGTACAGTTGTTCTATGCCCAGCAGATCACAAAAGCCTCTAAAAAGCAGTGGCTGTGTGCAAATACTCTGCCCTGTAAATCGATGACCAAGAAAAGCGTGGCACATATCACAGCCCGTCACACCACAAGGGGTAGGATGGGTGAAAACTGGGTGTTTATTTTAAACAGCTCCCAGACAGAACAAAGCATGAAGCACAGTTCCAAAATACTAATGTTTCTGGTGAACAATCAACAGCTCCATCCTGCAAACTTTAAACCCAAATGATCTAATTCCCAGAAGTAATCCTCACCACCACCCCTCAAGTTCTTGTTTGGCTGTTCATGTAAAAGGACTTGCTCAGGCACGGAAGCATTTTGCAGGATCATAACTTAAACACTGTGAAGCAGTGGAGTAACACCACAAGAGACATTACAACAGCAGGATGCTTCTTCCCCATTGTGATTACTTCAAAGCTGCCCTTTTTATTAGTGGGGCAGTGTATCATTTTGATTCATTCTTTTTTGAAAAAAAAATTAAAAAGTGAGGCTTGTTTAGAAAAAAAAATTTTACAGGCAACTATAAAAAGCGGGTTTGCTCTTGTTAAAGAGTGTCTTTTACCTGCCCTACTTGCAATTTTCAACTGTGGATAAACCAAAACCAGGAGGCACATTCCGTAATCTAACCCAGATTGCAGAGGGAATTACTGGGTACATGGTACTCTGGGGCTGGAGAACAGGAGACGCACGGCGCGATGGTCTGAAATCAAGCTGTCATCAGTTTCCTACCCAAAACCCTTCACTGGGTAAATCTGAGTATTTCCCTCATTCCCACTTCTTAGCTCTAGCCTGTTATATCACATCCACATGCAGCTGTCCCCAGTCCTTTATCTTCCTGAGAGAACCAGGTTTCTTGGGAGATGGTTTACACTGCTCCTTGAAAGATGCTCTTCTGCACATACACTCTGATTTTTCAGTTAGATCACAGTGAGCAACGGAGTGATTTCTATTATTTCTGTGGAACTGACTCAGAAGCACAGAGTGCAGAGCAGGGGCTGGCAGCTTGCAGTGTTCAGCAGGAGAACTCCAAAATGCCCAAGTGGACATTAAAGCACTTGCCAACACCATATAGGTCAAAAGGAGCAGCACAGCCCACATATTTTAAATTATCTGGCCCAAAATGTTACTTTTTAATTTTCCTAACTCCTCCTGACAATGTCTTCTGGGGGGAGGGGGGGCGGGGGGAGGGCAAAAACTAAATAAACAAAACAAACACAAAAAAACAACCAAACAAAAAACCCCCACCCAAAAAACTCAGCGTTGCCTGTCTTTGGAAAAATCCAACATTACCCATCAAATCACCCTGCTGCTCAGTAGATGAACCCTATCCTGCTCATGGATACCTCCTACTTACTCCCATGACTCAAGTCACCCATATGCTGAAGCAACCACAAGGTAACACCCTGGACAGAAAACACACTAAACAAAAACAGCAACAAAACTTGAAACACTTTTTTTTCTTCCCCCAGTGGCGAAAATGAGAAACTGATCAGTCGGGAAAGATGAATTAGCAACCTTCTCCCATGCCCACCTACATCTACTGTAAGAGCCCCAAGTGTATGGAAATTACACTTTTCCTCTTTCCCTCTCTATGCTCTTGCCCTCTGCAACAGCAAGAGGAATATGCATGAAAAGAGGGGTAAGTAGCTCAAAGGGAAAAAGAAAGAAGAAAAAAAAAGTGCTTCAACAGTTTGCTCGTTCAGGGCAACGCACAGGCAGGATTTTAAGCTGGTATGAACCCTGTCAAGTGGCACCAACCTCACTCGTGGCACCACGAGGGACTCGCATGAGTCCCTTCCACAGGCAGCAGTGGCAGCAGCACGGCGGTACTAGAGCTTGTAGCTCTCCTTCATACCCTGTGAATCCTCCTTCTCCCCTCTCCAAACCCGGCTCTGTGTAACAGACCTTCATTTCATTCCTGCCAAACATTAACAACGCCTTTTTTTTTTCATCAGGAGAGAAGAATTGCAGCATTAACAAACAGAAAAATAAAAAAGGTAATTTATAACCTGCTGCTACACTCTGTCTGTATTCACTGGTGATGAACAAACATATCCTACAGTCTGCAGGACAGACCTAGCACAGATTGAGGTGTTCATTAACATAACTTCATGGCAATGAAAGGTGCCATCACCCTAGGTAACAAGCTCACAAAAGAAAACGTCACTAGTCCAAGGGCATGCAGCCTACTTTTAGTTTTCAGAAGAATGGACAGAACGGGATGCACTGAAAAAATCCCAGTGGGAACTGTCTTAAGATAACTGCATGTACATATCTAAAATAGAGAATGGGAATGAACTGAGAATTAAAAAAGAGAATTACCTTTTAACATTACAGAAATCATTGCTTTAATGCTAATAACCTTAGGTGCACATACGTCTCTGCAAGCGGCTTTGTAGCATAGAGGAATGCTTCAATTCCCTCACATCCCAGCCAGTGATACCTCAAAGTGATTATTTCAAAACTAGATTTTGATTAACAAATTCCAGCTCAATTAACAAGTTCTAGCTCAAAAAGGTAATTAATAGATTTTTAGTGGGCAATTCCTAACCTAACTTCAGTGCCGCTTAGCAATGAATAAATGAAAAATCAGGCATTTGTTAAGTAGCAGAATTTGACCTTTCAGGCACCAGGAATTCACAAGTCTGAGGATTCACTGCCTGAATCCAGCATTTGTAACACCTCCTTGAAATACAAACTATAAATCCAAGCAACCGTGGTGAAACTGCTGAATAAGAACCAGGCATTTATTGTCAGCCAGGCGTGCTCACAAACAAACACCCCACACTCACACTCTGGCACAGGACAGACCAGCCCAGTCTTCAGCACCATCCCCAAAACAACCACCTTTGAGACGCGACCGAACCAGCAGCACTCGCTCAGGAGAACTAAAAAAGATGCTTGTCTCGAGATTTCTTAAAGAATATTGAGAAACAATCAGCTTCACACGATCAAAGAACACTCTGGTTTATCCTGCGCCTCCAAGGTGCACAGAAAAACAAAACTTTCAAAGCCTGAAGTGAAATTAACAAGTTAGAAAACACCCTGAAGACCAAAAAGAAGGGGGGAGCTTGTTACGCGTTTTATTTGTTTGGGGAATAGTTTTTTGGTGGTGGTAGTGTTCAGTTCACGTATTTTTAAACTCACCCTTCACGCTCTGATGTTTCTGCTGCTGGAAATAATCTTTAGAGCCTCTAGCGCATCGCAGCTCCTGCGCCCTCGGCAGAATCGGGATCCTCTCGAATATGCTGGGTCGCTTGGGGATGAAATCTAGCAGAGGTGCTGACATTTCAGGGGGGCTCTGCTGAGGCTCTGCGTGGTCACCGCCGTTGCTGACAGATACTTTAAAGGACATCTGAGGACTCAAGTGGGATTTAGCAGCGCTGGGACGAGTCGCCCGCGGCAGATCCTTCTGGGGCGCTCCCTGGCATTTGTCGGTCAGCTCGAAGCGGGCGCTGCTGCCTTTCTGCCCCGCGGCGAGCTCACAGTGCATGTCCGCGGGCTGCCGGGCCCCGCGCCGCTGTCCTGCACCGAGCGGCACACGGGCTGTCAGCGCGGGCTGCCCCAGCCCTCAGCCCTCACCCCTCGCCGCCTCCCGCCTCAGCCCCGCGCCGCCAACGGCCGGTAACCGCCGCTCGTGCGGCGACAGGCTCAGCCCGCACCCCGCAGCCCTCAGCCCCGCAGCCCGCCCGCCTCAGCCCCCGCCCGCTCTCTCTCTCACGCACACCGGCCGGACGGTGAAGACCCGGCGCGCTCCGACCCCGGCGGCGGCTCGTCTGTGAGGGACGGGGCGGCCGGCGCCGTGCGTCGGCTTCGCTCCCTCTCTAGGCAACACCGCCGGGCTGCTCGGAGCCGCTCCCGGGAAGGCGAGCGCGGCCGGAGGGGCGGGGAGGGGGTCCGGCACACGGGCGAGCTGTGCGGAAGCCGGTGCCTTTCAGCTGAGGCATCCGAACAGCGGCCGCCCCGGCAACGGCGGACGCGGCGGCGGCAGGGCGGGTTCGCCACCGCCGGGCTCGCCGCGGCCCCCGGGTCACCGGCCCCGCAGGGAGGGAGGGGGAGAGCCCGGGCGGGCGCGGTGACAGCCGCGCCCCCGCGCTCCTACCTGGGAGGGGCCGCCCGGGGGGACGCGCTGCCCGCCGGGTTCCGCCGCCGCGCCGGGCGCATGGGCTCAGCCCCGCTCCCCCGCCGCAGGGCCGGCTGCCAGAGCGCAGGCGGCCCGGGCCATTACCCTGGCGCGGCGGCGGGGCCAGCCGGGGCGGGCAGGGGGAGGGCTGTGCCGCCGGGGCCGCCCCTCGGGGCTTTGACAGCGGGGTCCGCCCGCGGGCCCGGCCCGGTCGCCCCTCACGGAGCAGGGAAGGGGGTGCACGGGCACACCGTGCTTGGCCCGGCCGGTGGCAGAGGGTGAGCGCTCCCTGCGCACCGGGCCCCGCACCTTCCCAGTGCCCGCCCCGGCGGGGAGAGCTCCCTGTGCTCGTACACTTGCCTCCCGAGAGGTCCGTGATTTCCCTTCCCGCTGCCCTGCTGCCACAGGCCTGGTCCTTTCCCCTCTGCCCACGAGTGTGGGGTTGCTGACCCCAGACACCCTGCTCACGGGTCCGGCGGCCCCGGCCCCGGGCACAACCGCGTGGGCACCACCAGCCTCCCCGCCGCGGAGCCGCCGGCAGCGCCCTATAAACAGCTCGTGTGCGAAAGCCACAGCCGCTGCAGCGTGTCATGGAGAAGCAGCGGGAGAGAGCAAAGCCTTGCCAAGGGACTGGGCCCGGGAAGCATGAGATGGGTCAGAGGTGGGTACAACCTGGCCAAGACATCTCCCCGATGACGCAGTTCCAGGTGCACTCAGTGCTTCTGTAAAAAGTGGCCATGCATCACTCCCTTCCTGCCCTACAGGTGCAGGAGCTGGCCCGTGCCAGCAGAGACAATTAAACTAGCTCAGAGCAAGCACCACAGCGCTGTGACATTTGCGCTGGCTCCTCCTGGGCCAGCTCGGGTCTGGAAGCAATCTAGTTGGGTTTATTAGCTTGGGCCTGGTTCCAAGCAAATGCAGGCTGAGCCGCGATGTGCAGCTTTGCACCAGCAAGCTTTACCAGCCCACACTTTTCTGGCTCAGGGTGTCTGCACCCTGCTGCCCTGCATGCTGCTGTCAGCACAGGTGCAGCACAGCAGGTCTGTAACACACCAGGACAGCTCAAGGATAGCAGTGACTCGGAGTCAGCCCTGATTTACATGGGTGTAAATCAGACAGACGGCTGGCTAGAAATCCTGCTTGTTCAGAGCAAACCTAAAGGAGAGGCTTGGGAGATTTAGCACAAGGAGGAGGGACAGCTACTGAACTGGCATCTTGCTACACCCCTCCTGAGGAGCATCCCGCAGGGAGACAAAAGATCTTCATCATCTTGTAGCACAGATGCTGCACAGAATGCTTCACTCACAGTATTATCCAGACCCTTAATAACATCTTTCACCCTGCAGAGTACAGGAATGGTCAGGACAGGAAGGCATGACTTTTTCTTGGCAAACGCTATGAGTGTTGTGGATTTAGTGGGAGGGAAGCAACTCTCCATAAAAGACACAAGATCTTGAGATGGAACAAGCAGTTCTGGGAGCACCAGTACTAATGACTCTCATTTGCAGTGCCTCTCCTCATTCCTGCCCAGTGTGGATGCCCTGAGGTCTACCAAAGAAGGAGCTTGCCAGCCTTTCTCTTCAACAGTGACAGTAATAGGGTCTTTTTTTTCTATAAGGTCATATCTTAAACTGTTAATAGCTCTCTGTCAAATGTGGTTAAAAATGGATAAATCCCTTCAGAATATCTCAGTGAGAACAAGAAGCTGCAAAAAGGGAGAAATCCTCACTTTAAGTCTATAGGAAACTAAATATCAACTAGGCGGCACAAATACTGAATTTGAATGTTTTTATAGATCTCCAGGATATCACCAATGTAAAAATTTTCAGTGTATGTTGTCACTCTGTGCGGTTGTACTCTACAGCCACCTCTCAGTGCTCTGCTAACCTACATCCCCTATTCCCCAGTCCCATCTGTCCCTGGGGCTCTCAGGACCGAGCTGTTCTTTCTCTTCAATTTGGAAATGCCAAAGGCACCTGGCAGTGCTACCAGAAGCAGTAATTATTTAAGACACAAAACCACTGTGGCAACAGTCTAAACTTCAGTTGACGTGAAGAGGCAGTAAAATTTACTGAAGGAAATATTATTCCAGAACACAGTGTAACCAAGGTAATCCTGCTGCTTCCAGTGCAGGAGGAAAATAGTGTTGAGATGGATTTTGAACACGGGCTCATCTTGTTCAAATTATTACAACTATATTGATACACACTGCCCAAATATCTGAACTGGAGGGGTTTTCCTAGAAAACGGGTAGTTTTGAATATATTGGGTACCTTCCTAGAGGGATTTTCTTTTGTGGTTAGGGAGCTTCCCACAGCAGGCAGGAAAAAGGACAGCTCGTTAACCCACATCACTCTGCATTTTCTACCTGAGGCCGTCTGAACCACTGCTTATTTCTTTTTTTCACCATTACCAATATCCAGAATATTCCGCAAAATACCGGCAGGTGCCGCCACTGGCTCAGCAATCGCCCAGGGCTGGGCTGCTCCGCGGGCAGGAACGGGCACGGAGCCTCCTCGGTGCTCTGGGCACCCTCTAAAAGCCAGGAAGGCTTTGGACTGAAGCACATCAGAGCTCCAATCTCCAACAGCATATAGGGTGAAGGCCCTTCACAGCGAGATGAATTTCCCCGTGGCAGGTCATCTCCCAGAGTTGGAGACCTCATGGCTCAGGCTGCAGGTACCTACATTGCTCCCATAGGAAATGAGGCCCCACAGATTCTCACCACCGTTTCCTCAGGTTCGAGTGAGGCATTTGGCAGCTGCCCTGTCTTTGCTGGGACTGTGCAGCTGGGGATGCCCATCCCTGGGTCTGAGCAAGAGAAACTGGTGGTGGATGGAGATTTTCCTCCAGACCGGGATGTGTCTGATAGAGACTTGACTCCTACAGCTGTTCCAAAGCAGTGACTTGGCTCCTCTGGCAAATCCGCAGAGGTGGAAGGAACAAGTGCTGGGAGAAGCAAGTGCTTCTTGAATAACTGTACTAATGGGAGAATTAAGCAGTCCCCTTTCTTTCTCTGCTGAATCAGAAGACACTTCATATGTTTTGGTTCTGGAACAAAGGCCAAGCAAGTGCAATCGTGGCTGCTAAGACTGTTTTATGCCCTGGGTCACCATGACTTTGCTGAATGCACGAGCTGTACAGCAAACACTGATTCACCCAATGTTGTCACTACATCCATGAAATAAATAGATGGGTGTCTCCACTCTGTGTCCTTGTGAAAACCAGTCACTGGAGAGCAATACTCTCCCTTTAGGAGAATGAGGGAAAGATTTCCCCATATTAGCCTTCTTATTCAACATTCTTGGTTGTCAAGGGCTGTGATCATGGGTCATAACATGGCCCACAGTTAGCCCAGTTTTCTCCTTCCTTTGTTAGTGAAGTCACCATCACCAAAGCAGACCTTCCAGCTGAGGCAGACAGGCCATCTTCAGTCCCTGAAGCTAGTCCCTGGGGCTTGCTTCATTTCAAATCAATTATGAAAAGTGAGGTTGCAATTTGGTATAAAGAACATCCAGAGGAATGCAACTGCTTGCCTGAATATCCTCTGACTAGGTCACGAGGGTAGGACACCCACTTGATAAGTAACCAGAGACTTGCCCATCTGCCCATTCACCCCTAGTTGGTGACCAAAGAAAGAGAAAACAGGTAGTAGAGTAAGGTGAGCTCAGGCTGGGGTGAAATTGTACCGGTAAGGAGAACAAGTTTAAAAAAGTTTGATGCATCAGTTTTTCCCTGATGACACCAGCCACGATCAGGTCAGTGCCACACCAGTGTTCACAGGGTCTACAGGTGCTTTGGCAGACAGGCAGCCTCTTGGCTCTGTGTTCACAGCTGCACAGGCAGAGGCACAGCTGTCTCGCCCGGAGAGCTGAACACACAGGAGGGGGGAAAGGACATTGCATGAAGGGAACTCCAGTTCACCAAATCCAGCCTTCCCAGTGTGCTCTTTACCTTTGCCAGGAACCCATGGCTGTAACTGGCCGCTGCGCTGTGTGTCGTCACAAACCGGATCTTCGAGAAACTTGGAGCAGCTGAAACCTCCAGTTCCCCCAGCAGTTCTGTGGGAGGAGAGGAATGAAGCAGAACAGATACAGGTAAGGTGAGCTGTGCAGAGCAAACAAGCAGAAGTGAAGTGTTAATCTCTAATTCATATATTGAAATCTTTTACTCCAGCAGGCAACAAAATTAAATTTTAAAGGGACACAATTGAAATCATAAGAATTTTGTCTAACTGCTGCAGTGCAGACAGAGGTGGGAGGTGTTACCATAAGTATTCTCTTAATATAGGGCAAAACAGGTTCTCTGGTAGGAGAATAACAAACTTTCTTATAAATAGCCTGGTCACACACTAGCTGTCAATTCATACAAAACATTTTTTTACAAAGGCATGCCAAGTCCAGACTTGTTTTTGTTTTAATTTACTGCACTACAGATTGTAAAAGAGAAGCAACCAAACAAAAACTGAGCCAAAGGGATTGTGTCTGTGAGTATGCCCGTTTCTTAGATATTGCCTATATCCCTTTAAGGCAGCACAAAGCCCTTCTTTATAGTGGTTTGAAAATGACCTAAATTGAGGCAGCAGGGTCAAACTGACCACACATTATCTAGCAACGTACTCAACTATTGCCTCATAACTTACAGATTTGTTTATGGCTCTTATAGTTAGAAAAAAGAAATTCCTCAGATCACTTTGACTTATCTTTTATAAACAAGCCTCTTTTCAATAGTATATTTTGGGAAAACCATACAGTAATCTTGAATCCCCCTTTGTCTTGCAGAGACTGCAAGAAATTACCAGCATCTCCCAAAGCCACTGTAACACTACAGATCCCTCCTGCCTCCCCAGTTAACTGACAGATCATTCTAGCCAACTTTGAGGAAAAATACATCTAGAAAAGGGTCCAACCAGCCTCCATTCAGGATGTGGTTGTTACACCTGCAGTTACCTTTCTCAGATATTCATCTCTACTATTTCTCTGCATCAATCTATAAATAAATCCCTTCTCACACCATGTTTACACAACACAGGTAGTAAACTTCAGTCATAAAAAAGCAAACAAACAACACCCCCCCCCAAAAAAAAAAAAAACAGCACAACTGAGGCATATTCAGTTTGTAAAATCTAATCCTTGGCACTGGGACATGCCAGGACTAGAATTGCTGGTACAAACTCATCTCATGCCTACTCTACATGAGTTACAGAACTGGTGCTATAACATGGCCCCCAGTTATTTTGCCTGGGGCTCCATATATGCAATGCACTGGAGACAGCGATTGCTGAATGAGCAGCTAGCCACTCTTCTTTCTGTTTTCTCTTCATAGGCAGAGTGTCTGGGCCACACATGGAATGTATTTACTGCACATCAGCCAAGCCCTGCGCAGAATACAGTTCATTTACTCCAGGGCATTTCTTTAGTGTCCATCACTGCAGCAGCCTACTGATTTTGGACACAAATGTTTTGTTATCATCACTGGAGGTGAGAGAGGGTGGGGTTAGGCTAAGCTTCATTTTACAACAGAGGCCCAGAAGCCAAAATCTTCAGTTTGAGAGCTAAACTTGTGACAAAGACTAACTGCTTCCCTTACCCCTCACTCCCTTTAGCATTTCCCATCCTTGTCTGTGGTAAAACACATTTCCGGTTCCATCAAACTCAACCCTTGGTGTTCCAAACAGAACATGTGAAATCTGGGAGACTTGTAAAGTAGCCACCTGTGAAGAGCTCAAGAGCAGCACAGGATCCCTGTGCAAGGCACAGTAAGGACAAACCAATTTACCTGGCAGTGTTCAGCTTGCACTAACCACAAGAGTGGACTTTCTCTTCCTACAACACTCTATGGTTGCTGACAAAGCCTTCTCAGAACTGACTACCAACATCTGTAAAGACAGCCCCTCACTACCCAGCTTTGAGCTGCAGCCCTGTGCTCAACCCAAAACTTTGTACCACCACTGACAAGGTTCACAGCCCAGTGCTTCCCCAGACCTGCTCTGAGCAGTGACCTCTGCCCATGAATAGACAGAGAACCAGTGGTTTACAAAGCTGCTGCCCCATCTCCCTGGTCCTCAAAGCTTGCCCTGGAGACAGGCACCCAGCCTGTCTCTTGAGCTGAAACTTCTAACATTAGTAAGCCTACAACTGGAACTTGCTGAGCTGAGAGGAGAATGATGCTTACACATAACTCCCAACAATCTTTGATTCACAGAAAACTACACAATCCCACTCCCAATACCTTTAAAATTCCCTCCAGGGCTCTTGTCATACCTTTTCAGACAAGATGCAGTTAAATACAACAGCCCACCCCAACCCTGTGTTTTAGTAGTCAGATTTAAAAGTTGAGTTATTCAAGAAGTGAAAGGCAAAGCCTGGAATTTTTTGTGCATTTTGGGCAGGAGTGGGAGAGGAACCTACAGTGCACTCAGCGCTGGTTCTTTGCTGGTTGCATGAGTACATACATGTGCTTAGGCCATAGTTTTCTCTGAAATTCTGACTGTAGGAACTGACTCTTTAGGGGCATAAAAAATAGAAAAAGAAAAAAAGAGGGAACTCCTGTACCACCACCACCACTTATTCAAAGAATCAGCTAGAGGATCCAGCAGGCCACCCAGGGAACTATTCCTACGTGAATTTGTGTTTTGTTCTCATGGCAGGCTCCAGAAATACTATGTTCATCTGTCTCCTGCATGACTAGTTCTATTGTAGCCCCGAGATTTTTGCAAGGACAGGAAGGTGAGGTCTTCTCTAGATTACTTTTTGTTTTCTGAAATCAGAGCATGATGCAGGTGTTGTTCTTTCTCAGGTTGTTTCTCAGGCACGAGGGACCTGCACCATTTGTTTATACAACAGGTTTGTCCAAAGCCAGTCTGCCCGATGCAAATCTCCACCAGTCTGCAGCAAGAGAAAGCAACATTCTAATTCGAGAACATCCCCTTACAACACCAGAGCCTGGCAAACCACATTCCAGCTGTCTACAGCACCCAAATGCATTTGATCCACACAGCAAATACATGAACACCATACTGGTGATGGAAAATATCAAAGACCACAGGGTGGAAGGTATGTGGGTATTGAGGAGGGTCCTCAGTTTGCAGTGTCTGTGATGATTCCACACAGACCTTTATGTTTTTTATTGCATCTTTGTAGGTGGTGATGGGAGAAGTGGGAGCATGGCTGCCATGGGCAGGTGAAGCCCTGCAGCTGCAATACACCTGTTTGTACAGGGAAAGCACTGCAAGCTGCCACTATTCATCCCCTGGGGAAAGGGGACAACACTGCACATGGCAAGAAGCTCCTCCACAGCCAAGGGTGCTCCCGGAGCCACCTCATATGCAGTGACGTACACCCAACCCCTCAGAGCATCAGGCACTCCCCCAGGCAGAGCTCCCATCCCAGAGGTGGCCACTGGCAGGAGGTGGGGGAGATCTGGCATGCACACAGCCCACAGGCTGCACCACTTGCCTGTGACTGAACAGGTACCAGAAAATTCATCAGCAAGAGGCTGGTACTTCCACGGCTGCAGCTGGATGCCCTCAGAGCCGTAGGTCTGTGGCAGGTGGGAAGATGGCTGCTCCAGGCCCAAGGACACCGAGCACAGCACACACAATGCAGCCTCTGTTCACTGCACAAGCAACAGAATCGAAAACACTTCATTTCAAGGGGGCATTCAGGCCTGGAGCCACCACTGGCACAGGGACAGCTCTCCAAAGTGGCAGAGTGCTCCTATTGAGGGAGCAAGTCTGGCCTGGCTCCTGTGGATACAGCAGCGTGCAACAGCTCCAAGGATCAGGGCCACTGCATTTGTCCACCCACAGGCTGAATTCCAAAGCTCTACCTCAGAAAACTAAGCAGGATATACGGGGTTTTTTTCAGACATAACAGGTTGCTTAAGAGCTAAAGCCTCTATTTCATTATTCCATTGTAGCAGGAACACAGGTCTGAACCATCAACCTTGTACCTCTCCACAGCTGCAGTGGAAATAATTTCAGGTCCTCTTGAATACAGCTGACCTGTGGGAGAGGCAGGTTGCTCACAAGGTTGCCAGAATGCTGTTTCACTTGTGCATGCAGCAGGCAATCCAGCAACAAGGTGCAGTTCAGCTTTGAGATGATTAAACAGATGAGAAACATTATCAGGCTTGAGGGATTCAGTTTAACTGCAGTTCCATAGAAACCAGCAGTAAAAAGGCTGTATTTTTTTCCTCATTACCCGGAATGCAGAACTGAACTCAAGAGACTCTTCCCTTACCTCACAGAGGCTTCACAGGCTGATTCTTTTCATATTAAGACAAAAGTATACAAAAGGATTTGAAACACCAGCAGTTTGCCAGGGGATTATGATTATTCCCCAAATCAAAATTAGAATGTTATCCCTGTTTGTGTTGTGTGAGCCAGTTACTGCATCTTCAGAGGCACCACCTAACATACATTTTATATTCCCATACACTTAACAGTAGCTCATGCTGATGAATTGAAAGATGCACTTTTAAGTAAAGGCTTAAAAAAAAAAAAGTCTTCAGCTCTTTAAGAATTGGAGCTTTTAAAGAAACCACAAAGCAATCAGCTTTTGAAAGCTCTTCTGCCATTCAGAGAATGCCATGAATCACACACACATTAGCAGATGTCATGTGCAAATCTCTGTTGCAACACTAGGAGGACAGACCTCAACCACTTTGGCATCCAAGAAGTCATCTCCATTTTAAGCTTGCTGCTGACAACTCTCAACACTGTTAATTACACCTTGCAGCTTATAGTTGTGAGAGTGTTGCAGAAGATACCACAGCAATAATACTGAACCTGTTTAAAAGTGTGATAAAATTTTGTGGAAACTTTCAGCTGCAGTATTTGAGTCAAGTTACACCTGAGGTATCAGCTAAAGCACCATTTAACTCCAGGTGCACATTGTAATGCCAGAAAATAAGCAAATTAAATTATTTATTAAGTCAGGCAGGCAAAAGGCTTTGAAATAATAATCAAACCTGTGATAGAAGTTGAGCTTGGCAAAGCTTTAAGAGACTTTGTGCTTAATCTTTAAACATAGTGGAAGGCTGCCCATCACCTTGTGTGTTTGCTGTGAGCCATCTCAATGCAAAAAGAACAATACAGTTCTCATTTCCACTATCAAACCTAACACCTGCAGTGTCTGCATTACAAGCAAATTACCTGTCTCTACTGAAGAAAGCACTATGCAGGTCTCATTGGAGATTTGGGGTTTTCTCTTTTACCCTAAAGGGTTATTACTACACAGCCACTCACTATGAGCTGATCATTTTATCACATCATCATAACTGACACCAGGGCCATCTTCGGATCTTGGGTCCTCTATAAAAAAACACCACCACAACAAAACCCATAAGACTAACAGCACTGAAGAGAATGGAAAGAAAATTATAATATTGTTTCCCCTTATCACACTAAATTCATTTGCAAGACCATTTAGCTTACTGTTCTCACCTTCATACTCCACATTCACATTTTCTAGTGTAGCTATAACAGGAACTGGAGTCTGTTTAAAAACCGAGTAGTTAATTTTCAAATTATTTGGGACAGGTTTTCAGATAAAAAGCTTTTAAAAATGCTTTAAAAAAGGAATATTTTTCACCAGAATCTACCAGTAATATATGCTATTTTAAAAAATTTGGATATGCTGCAAACATCCTTCCTACCCCCCTGAACAGAAAGCTGTTGATCTAAACTTTAATTCACAGTATCGTTGCTTGGGAGTTTTACTAAATGCAGTAATGGTTCCTGTACGTTTCAGCATAGATCAGAACTTAGTTTCCTAGGTCACCTTAAAGATAAAATCTTTAAGTTTTCAAGCAGTATTTGTGTGTTAAGAATGCCTTTCTGCACACTGTTCTACTCTGAAGGGGTATTTCCAGCTTACAGAAGAGCAGCATGTTTTATTCCTGGGCACATCTGTTTCCTACTCCAAAACTACACACTTGATCTGCACTAAAAGTGTTATCAACTAAATTTATGAAGCACTTAAGCACACTAAGTATCTATGTAAATCTCTGCTCAGCCCTTTAACAGAAAAGGGTAGGGAAAGAACATAGTGTGAAAAATAATGAAGGATCTGAGTGTCAAAGTAACTCTGGTAATCTCAAATGTCATAGCCTTACCTAAAAGAAGAACTGGCACTTTCTCATTTGTGACATTAAAAGAAGGCGCAAGATGAATTTTACAAGTTTTATTATACAAAAGATGATCCAAACCCCTAAGAGCTCTTCTACAGTTCTAAAAGTTTTGTTCTGCAACTTGTACTTCCATATGCTTTTCCAAAAAGCCAAAATAAAAAGACTCATTAGTCTCACTTTCTTCTTAGCAAGAGTCTTGAAAAAACCCAACCGTAGCTGCATCAAAATCTGTTATTTACTCTTTGTATTCCAAGAATTGCTGAAGTCTTTTCTTATGTTCTGTAGACACTTGCACTGCACTAAAAACAAAAGCAGAACATTTTACATTAAGTGTAATACACCACAAAAATAAAGTCTCATGCCAAAATTGAGTATACATTGAAATCAATTACACTGAAGCTAAATTTTAGAAAACCCAGCTGTATGAAAAACCTATGTTCCAAGGCAAAGAAACATATTAACCCTTAAAACTGTCAATTCTCATCCTACTACTAAGACACTTGTCCCAGGAAACCTTGTCCATTTACTTACCTTTAAATACACAGAGCAACTGATTAACTTGCAAGGATGACTTAGGTGAGAATCTCTTAACATGATCTCTCCTGTATATTGAGCACTTCCAAACTGAGGGACATTTCATGCCCACAGGGAGAGATGGGCAGATGCTGCAGGAAGTTTCAGTCCCACATATTCAGAGGCCAAGTATGAAAGTCTGCCTGCTGTGACAGTAGCTGAGAAAGAGCCTTTGGGTGACCAGGCAGCAATGGAATTCCATTATTTGGACCCTTCATAGGATTCTCTCCCTACAGAACAATTGTTTCTACTTGATTTATTTTCTTTTCAGCAGCTCAGATTTATTAAATGAGTGGTATTCACGAACTGCTTCTAAAGAGTTCATGAAAAGTCACTAAGAAAAATTACCCAGAAATCTATGAATAATAAATTTCTAAGCGGGACCATATATCTACACAAGAACTTTTTAAGGTTCCACAAATCAAAAAAGTACTAAAATACCATGTTAGAATAATGACCTGAAGAGATTTTTTTCCCCCGAACTTCCATTCTCACAGGTTCTACAATAACATTATTTAAACTAAATTTAACAAGCAAGCAATCATGAGGAATTTCTTACTTTAAGTGTTCTCCAAAGACAGTAGTTATCCGGTACAGTGCTGTCTTCAGAGATGCTCTAAGTGCAAACCGTAGTGTTTTGTAGGATGTGTCCACCAGACTCCCTGAGACCCGGGAGGGCTTGCTAGAAACATGTGGCAGTTTGAAATGTCTGTCTACAACCTGATTGAGAAAAACATAAATGAAATCAGGTTATCTGTTCAATTATTTCATAATGTAACCATTTGACACGTTTGTGTCAAATAAAGCAAAAAAAGTGCACATTCGGAAATTCCACCAAGACACACAAGAATGTTTTGGAGATTGATCATTTCCCAGCCATCAACAGGAACACAGAACCAAGATTCTGTTACTAGTCTTAACTGCCAAGCACAGCACATGCTGCAGTAGAAACACAATTCTGTCCTATATTATGACTTCTTTCTTTTAGAAACAAGGGTATTGGCTTTTTTTTCCCCTTGTGCCTGTTCTTGGAATAGATGACTTGCACTGAAAAACTTTAATAACCTTCAAATTCTTTCCAAGAATGTCCATTAGGGCAGTGTAAAATGATTATGTCAATAGGACATGCACAGCCTTGGAAATAAATCTGGATTTTTTTAAAATACACATTGAACAAACATCAGTGACTTGAGGGTAATGTCTTAGTATTTTGAAAGAGAACATCATACAGATCTTATCTCCTGTGATTTGCAATGTCTCCAAGTGCTCCATGTTGCACGAGGAATTGTGTACAGCCAAATACAGTCCTAACTCTGCATAAAATATAGTAGTGTAATTGCTGCATCCCTGAAATAAGCACACAGTACCATTTTTTATTTTGAAACATTCCATGCTTTCTCCTTCTACATTTTAAAAAACAAACAGGGTTTTTATTCAGCTGTTTCATAGTGCACACAGTGACAACCAGCTGTTTTGTTCAGATTAATTGCAAAAGAGCTGTTTCAGTGGCAACAACTTGAATGTTATGACTAGTCAGCAAGGTCATAATGTAAAATTAACAAGACTCCTCCTAAACTTGTCTTGCAGTAAGGAAAAGTTAACAGTTTTACCTCCTGAAGAGTCAGTAAAGTATTCAGGATAGCTGGCAGTGTAGTTTGGACAACTCCAAACTGGTCTTCAGTAAAGGAGGCTGCTACCAAGTGAGACAGGCCTTTAAAAAAAAACCAACAAAAGAATTTTGCTCTAATTAATGCTTCAAAAGTTGAGAATTCAGTAACAAAGATCATGGCATTGCCTAAAGAATCTACTAGTGTGGTAGAGCTCTTCAGGACTTACTGCAGCCAGCTGACAGTTACCTCAGCTTTGGCTCAAGGACTAAATCACTCACTGGTTTTACAAGTGTATTATAGCTTGAGGTTGATAAAGCAAGAGAGATTATATATTAAATAAATTTTTAAAAACACATTGGCTCCCTTTTTCCAAAAGAAAATCCCAAAGTGCAACCACATACTGTCATTTTTCTGATTCTCTGCAGATCATCTTTTTCTGTTTATTTGCTAAGTTACGACCTGAGCGCCTCCCTCAATTCCCTGATTAACAGAGAAACACTCAGAGCCTTTAGTCAGAAAAGCTGCTGTAAAAAGAAGTCATAAATCTATTGGTGGGAAAATGTAAACGTGGTACATGGCTTCACATCAGCGAGAAGCAAAAGAAATAAGTTTAGGGATCTCTACAGAACATAAAGTAAGAGAACTCAGATGGGATCTCAAAACTAACAAGTGAATTAGACTTTAGCCTAATGGTGTCTGGTGTCTGAAATGCAGTTGGGATTTTGTCAAAAGTGTTTCAAAGACTTTTATTCTGTTATATTTATAAAGCACAGAGGCCCAGAAAAGTTTTCCATGAATCATCAGAGTGGATCACCTGGAAACTGCTTACCTTCCAAAGCCCAGATATGCATTTGGGCATCAGAGAAGACAGCCTGGATGGAGGCTTCCGGGTGCTGAGAAGAAACCAAAATGTTGTGAGTGCACTTTATAAATAATAACACAAAACCTGCAGGTTTCACTAAGGTATTACACATTCCATAGGGTCCTGTCCCTCCCCTCAGAACAGACAGGTATGGGATAATCCTGCTATGAAACTCACAGTAAGTACAAAATTGTACTTATAGAAAACCTTAGATAAAAATACAGGTTTTAGAACCCTTACTCTATGACAAGGTACAAAAGGCTACAGCAGAGCCCATGTGCTCCTGCATTTCCAGTCCCTGCTGCTCAGTCTCAAACCCAGGATCGCCCTTACCTTGCTGAAGAAATACATTATCAGCGCCCGTCTGGACAAGAAGTTTTTTATCTGAAAAGAAACAAAAGATTAAACTTATGATCTGTATTTATGTAAGGTATGCACAGTTGGCCCTCCTCAACCCTACCAGCTTCACACAGTATAGAGGCATTGAGGGGAAGGGGGAGGGAAGGATCTGTGTTATGTAAGCTAAGCGGAGAAGGAAGTATTCATTCCATAAAATGGGAAATTCTTCCAAAGAATACCCAAGGTGCACCCTGTATATACTGCAGTTTTACTCTACCTGTTCTTGCTTGTTCTGAAGCCATGTGTAAATAAATTTGGGCTGTACTGCCTCGCTACCAGCTTTTGCAGCAGAGAGCACTGGGAAGGACTCATGGTGGGAACCATTCATTTGATGATCTACAAGAAAAAAAATACAGTATCTTCAGAAAAACTGGTTGCTGTCACTTTAGTCCTCACAATACAGCTCTCCATCGACATGGCTACTACACTTATGGCTACAGGACAGTGCTGTGGAAAAATCTCTACCTGAGACTGATGTCCACAGCTTTGGTCCCCTTCTCATAACAAGGGGACTTTGGAGCGGTCCATGCCAAGAGGAGTTTACATCCACAACTCCCTTCTTGCAATTTAAAGCGGGTGAGGTGAAGGGTGAACCAATGTCAGACCCAGGAGATGTCTTCAGAGGCATTAGGGAGGGTTTAACCAGTGGAGACATGGTGGCTCTGAGAACAACATTAGACCTCTGTGACTGGAAAGACATGTCTTCTGTCCCAACAGCTCCTAATGACACAGAACACACTGCATGGAGACAACAGGCTGGCACAGATGAAATAAGAGACAGGTTTGTTATTTCATTGCTATTTCAACAACTTCTGGATCATCAGAGCTTTTATTATAGGACACTGTTACCGCTGTGGTCTTGCAAAGAAGTACATCAGCATAAGCATGGAGTGTTTTCCAAGTTCAACAGTTTAAGAACAGCAAGTAATGAGAAGGATCCTTGTGAATTTATTTTTCTCCTTTTGCTAGCCATCATTACTACACCCTGATACAGATCCACATAAAGTGGGCTATTAGGATTAAGTACTAGAGAAAAGGCTACATATAGAAGAGTGACAAGTCTTTGGCAAGTTTGGTATGTAAAAAAAGGCATGTCTGTCTCAAAATCTAAGGAATAGCAACATCAGAAGAAATTCACCTCTGACATACCAACAGTCCCTGCTGTTCCCAAAGCACTGCCTGCTAAGGGATTTCATTACCTGGCAGCCTTGTGCTAACACAGCTCTGCTGCCAGGAGTGATGCCCAAGTCTGGCAGGTAAAACATCCAAAATGCTTGGAGGCTGCACACAGCTCAGGAGTCAGACTGGGCTTTTCTTATTCTACAGTGATATTAGTGAATCACACAAACATAAAAAACCCCCTAATTTTACCATTTTAAACTAATCATAAGAGCAGTTATGCAAATTAAAAAGCATCTCTCGGCAAGTTTGTAAACAAACTGAGTAAACATATTCTTTCCAAGCTTTCTAGTTATTTTGAGATTATCTCAACAAGAATACCTAAAATTATATTGGGAGAGAATCTTTTTTGTTTGCATTTATTTCCAGAAATTCCTGTGACTCATTTGCCTCATAGAGCTTAACTAAAACTAATGTACCCATGTATCTATCTGTACTGTCATGCTTTACAAACCTTTATGAGCATTTCCTCACATACCTGGAGTCTGTGGAGGTACTTTCAGCTCCGCCACTGGCTGCTTTGCTCTCCCGTTTGCTGCTGCAGCTTCCTGCTGTGCAATCAGCCTCTGGGTCAGATCACTCAGAAGACTCAAACACTCCCTTGATATTGCAGTCCAGTTGTGTGGGTGCCCACCTGACATATGCACACAAAAAGGAATGTTTAGCCCAGCTGCTCCTCTTGTATCTGTTCTGACAGTGCCCATGTGCTCTCAGCAGGAGCTTCACAGTGACAGTACTACTCCATTTGTAAAACGCCACAGGGCATTTCCACTGTGACAGCTTGTTCGTACTGAGAGGAAGATGAAAACATGGACAGATTCCATCCTCCTATCAATGGATAACTCTAAAAAGACTTCAGTGGAACCTGCTAAGCAAGCAGGAAACACAGGCAGTTCAGCCTATCTGACCTGAAATCACCGAACAGTTAAAATGAACAAAGTAATATCAATGGGGATGGCAAACAGGTCTGAAGCAGTACAAACACTAGAATTCCTGATAAGGTGTTACAAAAAGTTCCTGAAGGCTTCTAAACAGTTTTAATTGACCTTCTCTGCCATATCTTTGAATATAGCAAAGGGCCTGTGTACTAATTGAAATTACAGGCAGTGTTTGCTCTCATGGCTCCAGGGGTGACTCACTATTTGTGCCTGATTTCCCCTCACTCACACCTCAACATTCAGCTTTCATACACATCTGCTGGAATATCCAATCTGGACTATTTGATTGGTGGTGTGAAGAGGGCTCTGCTTTCAATATCCTAAACCTGTATGTCCTCATGGCTGTCATTTAAATCAGACACCAGAATGGTTTGAGTTTAGTGGATGAAACAATACGAATATAGATAATTAAGCGTTCTTTTGGAAAAGGCACCACAAGGGATGAGGCCTCACAAAATTGCATAACTTGTATTACATAACTTGTATAACAATTTTTGAAAAAGGAAAAGAATCAACACAAAATAGTTTTTGTAATTACCTGGCTGACTAAGGCTAAAGACTTCCTGTCGTCGAACAGGGGAGTACTGGGAAAGTAACATCAAGTCTTGTAAGGCTAAAAACTAACAACAGAGGAAAACGTTTTAGTGCATGCAAAGTCCAGCGTATTTCCTTAAAAAAATATGGAGTTATCCATACAAAATCAATCCCTACCAAAGAATGAGTTCACACAGACTAAAACCAGCCATGAAACAGAAAAAGAAGGGAGGCAAATCCCTAGGACCACTCTGGATATGGCTGCCAAGTTGGTAAGAGCTTCAGAGAACTTTACTGATATGTCAATTCTTTGGAGTTCAAGTAGATCTAACACTATTTTTTATCTGAGCAGCTCAGGCAGAAGGAGCCCAAGACACAAAAAAGTCTAAGGAAAGAACTGTTTTTGCAAACCAGAGCTCACCTACAGCTTTAGGGTCAGTGCCTTACGGGACCAACCTAACATTCTTTTTCATGTGATAATTAACGTGCACAATATGCAAGACCCTATCATAAATTAGACATTTTTAGTAACATCTGAGATTATAAATTGTGCTGTGCTCAACTCTTCTTCACACATCCTCTGATAAGGCAGCTAAGCTTAAAAAGGCATTGCAACCTATTGTATCTCCAGCCTTACCAGAAATCTGTACAATCAGTAAATGTGGATTTTGCGTGTGCAGGAGAATAATCTTATCTTTATTTACATAATACTTCTTATATGAGGCCTTTGATTTTTAAGTATTATAATCAGTAAGTCCTATTAATGATTACCATAGACCAAAATTCCTCTTCTTTACTCACAGTACACACCAATACACTTATGTTGCAAACAGATCTTTCCCTCTAACTAAATGAATCCTTACAGTAACAGCGTGGTGAGCACCAGCAGATGTCACTACTAAACAAATTTTCACCATTAAGTGTAACAGCCTTTGTGAATGTTCTGAGGCAGCTTTTGAAGGAACTGGCACCTCAGTTAACAGAACTGGTACCAGGAAGATGTGACTGAGTGCTCTGACAAACACCTCAGCACACAGCCAGCAGGGAAGATGGTGGGAGTTCAATTACCTTTATAAGGAGGGGAGGATTGCTGTTTAAGATTTTAGGCAGGCACTGGTCTGTCTCCTCAGCAAATGTTGGCTGGACAGGAAAATGATGAGTCTAAATATAAATATCAGAAGTTATGTTATACAGAGGAAATCACAAGAAAACCTTATGAAAAACCCACCTGAGCTGTTACTTGTCAGGTGAACGATGAGCTACAAAAGCACATAATCCACTGCTTCAACTCACTGTAAACTGACCTGGAATTTCTAACACGTAATAAAAAGACTTTACTCCTTATGTTTAAAATTGAAAAATCTCAGAAAAAATTCAGATATTTTTATCTTAAAGTACGTTCCATGCACCCATAGAATACATAGCTAGGTGCATCATATCGTTATGAAAGAAATTCCTCTAACCACATACCTGTGAAAAACTAGTGATACCATCTTCCAAAACAAGACTGAAACCTGAACTGCAAAGTCTGTCTTGACGTGGGTAACCACTCTGGTGAAGAACTAATAGCTCTTTTAGCAAATAAGAAAAGATTTTTTAAATTTTTCTTTTGCGCTGTTCCACTGATAAGCTAAAAAATTCTTATTTTTATCATCATAATTTTCATGTCCTGTGTTTTAATAGAATTCCTGTGGCTATAACATTTAAAATGTGAATAGCGGTGCTTGAATTGTATCAAACATCACAACTTTTTAACCCTATTTAACATGGTTCAATTTGGGCACAGATTAACTGTTAGTTTTATGTTACTGCACTCATCTTAGACACCATAGCTTTATTCTCCTCTGTTTCCAACCACAAAATTTAAATTTGAGGTAGCAATTGCTTTCAAAGTGTTAATAAATGGACTTTAAGTAGACTAAATTTCTTTCATGACTTCAGTTAACACTATGCAAATACTAATAAACAACTCTGGAATTTTTTTAGCTCATTAAAAAAAATAAAATCATGTGAATAAACAAATGTTTTGTTCAACAGTCAAAAGGGTAAGGTCCATTTTATACCTTCCAGATGGTTATTTTTGTCTTCCACAGTTCTATAAGCAATAGAACAACTACAGACAGCAACAGTGTTCACTGGTGCTTCAGTTATTATCCTTTGAAACACCTCAGAACTGTTCTTATGCTTAGACCTTTTTAAAGCTAACATCCCAACAGCACTGTATGCCATTTCATTCCATGAGTGCTTTGCACTAATACACTGATGCAGGACTTAAACCTCACTTTTTTCCCCCCTATTTATCTGCAGTCTAGTCAAGCTTTCACTGAAAAAAAAAAAAAAGTTGGTTTTTCCTCTGTATTTGTAAACAAAGATCAGTCAACTCTTTGTTGACAAGACTTTTCCTTTCTCCCCCCCTTCAATCGGGGTCTCATATATTTAAATGGTCTTTTTTTAGCCCATTTAATTTGTAACTTTATGGTTGAATGAAAAAGCACAAGTGTCTTAATTCCCACGGTTGCTTGAAGTCTATTTTAATACTGCAGACCTAATTAGATTAACATGTTTCTGCTTTGGAGAACTCTGTACTTTGAGGGTTTGCTTAAATTTGAGCTTTCTAGAGCTTAGCTTGCAGGAAACAGTTTATTGTTTTCTTAGCTTGTCTTGCTCTAAGGAGAAGGAAAGTCAGTTAATGCCCAGGTCTGTCTTGACTGTTGGGTTATCAGTTACTGCCTGCAGTGCATGCTGTGAAAATTCAACCCACAATAAGTTAATTCCTAGTAAAACTGCTTTTGAAAGAAAGTATTATCTGTGCAACACTGATGTTCTACCTTTAGCACTGTCACAAGTACTAACCTCTGTAGCATAGATTTTGAAGAGCAGCCATGCAATGTACCAGGTCATCAGAAGAAACACACCACACAACCAGGTATGGTAAAACAAGGAGAGATCCAATAAGCCACTCAGAGTGTCGAGAGGATGCAATTTACTGGAGATAAAACCAAGAAGATACAAGTATTTTAGTAGTTTTATTTTGGGAGATGTTTGCAGTAAGCTGTTACAGCAGCAACAACAATTACAGGAATAAAGTTGGTTTGTTTGGGTTTTTTTGCAAAAACAATTTCTTAAATATATTTGAGATACCAGTTCTTTGATTTTTCAGTAACTGATGAAATAAAGTTCACACAAATGAATGAAATTAGGGAAAAGAAATATGAAATAAGTAATAATGATTACAGTTTTAGTCAATTAAGGTGTTAAGACTCCAGCTTCCCTATTT